CATGATTCATTTTTATTTTCCTTTTTCTCTAGATATTGTACGAGTTTGGCTGTTTGTCTATTTCTTTATTCTTCAATACTTGTACTGGACTATCACTACTTTACTACCACTTGTAGCGCACCATTGAGTGCATAAATAAATAATAAAAACTGTTGACCAGCTAACACTGCAGCATGGATCAGGAGTTATCACCTTTTTTCCTTTGATTTTTGTTTGGACTTACGCAATCCTACCATGACTAATGATTTATCACTCCCTTCACTAACTAGTCAAACTCCCATGCTCCATCGATAAATAGAAATGTTAGGACCTAAAATATCACGCTACCTTGACGAAGGGGTAGGGCTACGCGTTCCAAGTAATAGGTACCAACCATCTCCGGTTCACCAATGCACAAATTGAACTCGTCAGACAAAATTTATGTGTTACAATGTATGCAAGCAGTGCTGTCGACGTCACGGCGGAAGTCACATGCTTGAAAACTTTGCTGACGGTGCTCTTTTCTAAGTGATGACGGTCGGTGATGTCGGTATGATGGATGAGAGTGCTTCAGAGGTCGGTGCGATGTCGAACTGGAAGCTCATTGCTCATTTGTTGTTCGGTTTTGCATGCAATAGGCTTGTACCCACGAGCAGCACCACGTTGTTGAAACCACTACCTAGGTTGCTTCAGGGTACGATCCCACTGCTCCGAGGGAGGAATGTAGCCCATCAGATCGGCACATCTTCAACCCTGAGTTCCCAATTTCTCCTTGGAACTTAGAGCTGTGCTGCTTAGTTGCCGAGGATTGCTGTCAAAGATCAAGCCAGCGAAGTCATGGAGGGATGGGATGTGGTGCCAGTGAATGTCTTACTATCCGAAGCAACTCGAAAGGCGCGATGGCTCAACAGATCCTGCGCGATCACGCCAGGAAATTTCATCACTTTGTCGAGCCGCGCAATTTGTCCTCTATTTCCCTGAAGAAAGTGGTAGGGCTGGCATAATCTGTGCGATCACCACCTGTAGGGGAGAGGAGAGAGCCCGGGGACCAGACAAAGCAGTGACGAGAGGAGAAGGTCACATATCTCCTTCTTATACTCAGCGGAATCACTGCCCATGGGCTAAACAACCTTGAATTTGTAGTCTATCGGACGATAACCTCTTTGCCAAGATGGGGGAATAATTATAGATCTGTTCTTGGTGAAAACTGAGCTTGGGTGAAATGGTGCTACCGGTAGTGTAAGTGGTAGCATACTTGCCCGGAAAACGAGAGGTGCGTGGTTCTAGTCCCGCCTGGTGCGAAAGTTTTTGCCCATAACAGGCATTTTTGTGGGAATTTTCAGAATTCATTTTTTGCGCTATCGCAAGATACGGGGCATTGTAGTAACAAGGCATTGAAAGCCACGTGAAATAACTCCCTTTTGTTAGAAGCGGGACTAAACCTTCAGAGGGTAGGAAAGAATTCGGGGAGCGTGAGCACATTGCATTTTCCCCCATTGTTCCTGCAACCACCTAGGCTTAGTCCTACGAGATGCCCCCTTATCTTGTGATAGCGCCCTTTTCTCTACTTTTCATGCAATTATCGCGTTTAAATGAAGGATGTCCGGAGACAACTAATTCTAGCTAATAGCGTTCCTTAATCAGTAAAGAAGGAAACAGCCAAGTCATTGTTGCCAGTAATGTCGATTCTTTACTGGAATTATGAGCATCGTGTGCTTTGATCCGTATTGAACGCTCGTGCCAACAATCCTGTTGAGATCAATACTATTCAGAAATGGCGTTGTTAATCAAAAATGCACGTCCGGTCAACGAGCGATGGCAATGTCAAGGGCTGATGTTTGTTTTAGTCAAAAATGGAGTTATTGTGTAGGTTTTCCTTGACTTTTCCTTCTGTACTCACTTAATTCTCTTTTTCAGTATTATTAGTAATTTTCCGAAGGTTTCTGGAGGTCTTCCTCGAAGTAGCACAATGCCACGCGGCGGCGGCGATGATATGTGTCGACCAGCTTGGGTAGCCGCATAACCATCGCCAGGGTCAAGGATGCGTCGCGGAGAGGGGATCGTATTTCACTTGATGGGGTTCACATTAGACGAGTCAGCGTGGGGTCGGCTGGGGAGATTTTGCCCAAGATATTTTCGACTAGAAGTTTTGTAGGAAACTCACTCTTAAAGGCACGGGTCGGGATCGAGTTGGGGTATTTTTGCGCTTGAAAGTGAGTGCAGAGATGCGAAATGGAACGCCAGTGAAGAAAAAGGGAAGAAGCCGTCGACAAGGCCGAAAATAAAACCTCTCTCCCACAGCGGCGAAGGAGGCTGGCTTAGGAAGACGGCATCCCAACTATTGCTCACTCCATGAAAGCAGCTGATACGGGAATCAACCCAACTTATTTCACGCTTTATGCCAGCCACGCTCCATTTCGGTGGGGCGGTCATAGCTCACGTCGTCCTAAATGCTAGGCCAGGGTTGTTATAGCCGCGCGGTTTCGAGTCACGAGCGCGCAGCACTCTATGGTTGCAGACCCAGTCATAGTATCGACGGAGCGCGATCCTTTGATCGCCTAATCCCAACCTGTGCCTTTAAAGACACATTACGCGCTACTAAAAACGTGGTAACAGAACCCTCATATAGAACAGTAGGACTCGTCTTTGAAGAATTGAAGGACAATAAAGCACTGAAAAGGCCGTGACAGAGCCTTTCTTTTTCTTTTGGGCGGTGAGTTGGGAAGATAAATAATCATTCCCTTGAAGATCGCTCTTGAAGATCTCTCTCTTGAGGTCTGGGCACTGTGCGAAAGAGTGAGCGTGCACTGATTCAAGTTTCATGCCTCTCCGGCACTCCCTTTGAGTTGCGTAGTCGCCGGGATCCGATCGCTGAATGTCTGTCTGAAAATATCAAACAATTCATAGAATTAAGCTGGTGTGCGTGCCACCGTCCAGGCCTCCCCTTCCCCCTCCCCCTCCCCCATCCCGCCTTCTCGCCTTCATGAACTTTTGAGAAAGTGGAGCGAGCGATATCGTGGAGTTAGCGAAGAGAGGGGTACATGGTGCAGACATTAATGTTATGGTTGACTTTGCCTAGCCGCACTTTTTTCAGCGCGATTAAGCTTGTAAAGAGCACAAATGTGCAACACTATTTTGTAAGGCAATACTCATGTCAACGCACGACATTCAGATGCACGAAATGTCAAGTCATGCACAAATTTCAGCTTTACATAATTGAATAAAATTCAGCGAAGTAGCTCCTTCGATCAGTGCTGAGAATGGCGTTCAAGTGTTGGACGCAACAGGAAAGTGTGAGCGGGTGAATGAAAAATAAAAAGTATTTCCTCATACTCCCATGCAGCTACCGTTCATGGGCAAAGTCGCCGTAGACGACTTTTACCAGGGCACTCGAGCCGCTCTGGCTGGTGGAACAACAATGGTCGGTCAGCGAAAAGACTTTTGAAGGACTTTTCTTCAGAAAAAAAAACACTTTGTTTATTCCTCTTTGTTCCTATTTATTTCTTATTTATTCATTTATCTAATTATTTATTTACAGACGCAGAATTCAGTCATTTTTATCAGCTTTCTTGGTGCATGAGAATTTAGAGTAGACGCTGGTTCTATCGATAGTAGCTGGAGACAAAGGATTTCTTCTTTGTTTTTCGTCGGTTGTTAACCTGGAGTCGAGTGACTGCTGTAGCGCGGTGTGTCCCGGTAGTTCACAGATCCTGTCTAATGACATGTTAGTAGCCCTTAAAAGCGGCCAAAGTAAAAAGGATGATATCAGATGCAGGCCGAATAGACCTGAAACAAAGAGTAACATCAAAGCAACATGTTTAGGGTTCCCAACTTAGGCAATCTCCAGATTAGAGGTGTAGAGGGCTTTCAAATACCCTGCTACGTTCTAGATGTTGAACGGAGACGTGGCGCCTTCAAAAACTGTTTAGACACCCGTCGTTTCAAACTTCATTGAATAATTTCACGTCAAAAAGCTATTTGTCGTCAAGGTTCAAACTTTTGACTATATGCGCAATCTCATTGTTATTTATACTTTACTAGTCACTTTTGCCCATGGCGCTTATTCACAGTCTATATGTAAACTTGAATTCTATCTTTTTTAATTTTTAATTTTACTTGAATTTTTATCATATTCAGTTATATTATTATAACATTATTAACTTAACTATATCACTCCTTAACATCGCAAGTAACAGTATTACCTTGTTACTTGATTCTGATGACTGTAATAGTTTTCTCCGAATTCAGATTAATCGACTTTGTAACCTTCGACAGATAGTAGCTTGCGCGCATGGCCGGCCTACAAGCAATGAGGGAATGGGCCGATCCTAAAGGTAATTCTTTCCTCCTTTCATAAATCTCTACTTTATGCCTTGTTGCCTCAAAATCAGTATAACAATCTATTGGTTTTGTCAACCGTCCACAAGTCCGAGTTTGTTCTCTAAATTATGGAAGGTAGGGCCGAGATAGGGTAGCGACAAGGGACTAAGCATTTGGCGCGGAATCGAATCCTGCATCCAATTCAGTTAGGCTAGATAAGCTTCCATCCCTCTGAGGTATCGTATCGACTTGAGAGGATGAAAGCAACGTCTTGTACACTGGCTCGTCTTGTTCCTACTCTAGTCCCAGAACAATTCTGAATGGAAGTAGAATGCATGGCGCATCTGAACCAAAGTTTGATTAGTGTTAAAATCTTTACCTTTTCTTTCTTACAAATTATCAAAGTCAATTTATCGTTGCAGGTGTGCTGTGATTATGCACTATCCATGGCAATCACCAGTTGGAATAAGAATGTTGAACGAGAAATGGAGGAAGTAGTGAAGCCAGAATATGGTGTGTCGGTGAACGTTAAATATTTCTCAATGTTCCAGGCAGACTCCGCGATCAGTCAGCTTGATTCAGTCAGAAAGGAGGGTGGAGGGGTAACTAAGGTAACTAGTTCATCATCGGTGTGGAAAGCCTTAACATCCTTACATTGTGTTCCGAAAGGGGTAGAGTTTGTCTTCGTAAATTTCTGCACCTTTCTCACACCAGGGGGTTCATTGCTCCAGATGATCGCGGACTCTGCCTTTGAGCGTTTGAAATGTTGATGTGATGTTGATGTGAGAAAAAATTGACTCTTTGCAGGCATCAATTCATTCAAGTTCTTCTTAGCCTATTCGGGCTTATTTATGGTTCGTGACGAGGAATTCTATCAAGGCAAGTCTATTTCACATAAATTATTTCACAATATCGGTTTGTGCGCTTTTGTTCGTTGTGTTTCTTGTTTGTTTTTTTTTGTTCCACATGCAATACCATTTTATGCCATACTAATTCAAGAAAGGAAACAAGCTTGCAATAAAGTAACTCAGGTACCTAAAGGCATACCCTGGCAGAAATCGTGAAAAAATCCCTGCGGTCTGTAGAACAGACTCCAAAGGACAGTCACAGATGTGGCTTCCCCACACAAGGAAATCACCCGATATGGGCAATAGTGTCTTGCAAAGTCATCTGCAGCGATTGCAATGCTCGCAGTGTGCAGCAGGCTGTTGTCTGGCGCTCTCTCATTTGCAGCGCTCTCTCCGCCTCATACTCTCCTCTCCGCGCTCAGTCTCTCACTGCTCAGTAAGAGTCGCATTACGACAGGTACAAGGCCTTTCACTCGAACGTTTTGAAAAATTCTTTTTTTCAGTCGGCATTCTGCACCCAAAGATGCGGTCGTTCAATTAATATCTGACCGAGGCGCACACAGTTGATTCTGGGGCTACCTTTTAAGGAAAGGGAAACATGCTTGTAACATGCTAAAAGTAACTTAGGTGCTGATCGCAAGAAACATGACGCGAAAGCGCACCATATTGTCCACTATGACCCACCTCTACCCGCTCCAGCAGTCATCTTTGTCCTTCATTGAATATCAATTTTTTCGAGTTTCGTCCTCAGGTTTTGAACGCGAAGCAAATTAGTAGCCCACCTACTGCCTTTAAATTTTGCAACGGCGCCGAAATACCACGGCGAAAGCTAGACAGATGACGATACCACGAGAAAAGTTAGACAGATGATGGCCGCTCGTGGCTGCGGTCATAGCTCTCAATTTTCAAAAAAGGAGTACTTCAGAAAACCTTGCATGTTTCAGGTATGATCACTTGTGCTCGAATTGGAGCATTGGCTCGGGTTCATGCTGAAAACGGTGCCGTTATCGATGAGAAAATGCAAATCGCTACTTGACCAAGGAATCAACTGGTCCGGAAGGTCATACACAAAGTCGACCTGAAGAGGTCTGAAACCCTTTAGGAACTCTTTTTTGTTTTTGCGCTTCATTATTCTGTCGTCTGATTTTCAGTTAGAAGCCGAAGCGACAAATCGTGCGTGTGTGATGGCGTCACAGGCAAACTGCCCTTTGTACGTGGTTCATGTGATGAGCAAAGGTGCCGCTCAAGCAATTGCACACCATCGTCATAAAGGTTCATTTATCAGTTCTTCCTCCACGAGGTGCACATCTCCACGAAAATCCGTCCTGGTGTACGTGTCCCATTTGAAAACGGCAAAGAGATCGCACACACGTAATGCGCCGTAATAATACGGTGGTTTCGTGACCACTCCCATTTTCCTCTACATTCTCCGCCGAAAAGAGTAAAGCGCAGACGACTAGAAGACGGCTAAAGCGCATTTTCTAACGGTGCCAAAGGGAAGATAC